GTAAGGAGATATCATTTCTTTTGTTTCATTATTTTTAATTAAGGTTATGTAACAAGATTCTGCAAAACGTCTCTGAATTGTGTTTCGTTCTGAGGTATGCCAAAATGTTCAGAAACCTTCAAACATAAAGAAATGTAAAAATTTTCAATTTTTGTACGATTACAATAAACTTACCCTACGGGAAGTTAATAAAAAATACAGATACAGTTTAAGCGACAAAATACAGAAGCGCGTAAGCGCCGCGTCGCAGTTTTGCGGATAAACATTTGTGCGGAATTCATACCTGATTTAATTACTTGACGTTAGCAACCCATTTTCAAATTCTGGCACCAAATTTTGCAAATTTCATACAAACTCACATCCTCAAACCCAATTTTCCAACAACCACATCATAAATATTAAAAAATCACTACAATTCCAAAGAACCCTGAATAAAAAATCAAACGTCAATAAAATCTCCATTTTCCCATTTTAGTTAGCAAGCCTTGAACATTTGCAAATAACAAAAAAACAAAAAAACATAAAACAAAATCCATATTTGTTTATCAAAAATTATAAAAAAAATTATTTGTTTAAAAAAAAAGTCAAAATGTTAAAAATAAGCAAAGCTTTACAACTTTTGCCCAAATCGCAAGACCAGACGGCAGTGTCGAACTTTGGCGGTTCTTTTAAGAGATTTTTGACATTGAATGGATACCGAAAAGGATCGTTTTTGACCAGAGGCGAATTGGGGGATAAATTGGGCCTTGGGGCCAGATTTTATACAGATGGTGACATCAAAAAAGGAGGCGGAAAATTAGCTGAGAGACAAAAGGCTTTGGAGGATCAGTATTTTCATAGGCAATTATTATTTTGACATTTTTGGTAGTTGAAATTTAAAAAAAATTGGGCAGTTTTAATCAAATTCCTTGAATGCATTTTTAAATTCTTTCATTGTCAGTTTTGGCCAAATTTTACCAATTCAAATTTAACAATCGTCACTTCATTTCGAATTCAATTTCAAAAAAAATGCAAGAATTTGCCTAATTTACATATAATTGCCGGATAGTCACAGTCTAAACGCATTTGCAAATAATTCTGTGCGGCATTTTCACTCATACTGTGCTCAGCTTGGCGGCATTTTCACATTTTTCAATAGTTTCACAAAATTACCACGTTAAAAAAAATTGGACAGTTTTAATCAAATTCCTTGAATGTATAAAAAATTTCTTTAAATTCTTTCATTGTCAGTTTTGGCCAAATTTTACCAATTTTTTGCAAAATTCAAACTATTTTGACAACATGTCACCGATTTTTGTGAAATTTAATGTGTTTCTATCAATATCAAAAAAAACTAGTGGTGCATGGCATCGTGCCTTAAGGCAAATTGCTGGAACTTCCCGTACCATAATGAAATATTCGAGAAATTTTAAACGTTTTCAAATATATTATTACAAATACTGTAACTTTCATTATTTTTGCATTATCTTGTTACATGTGACCAAATCAAATGTAAATCAAATCATAAATCAATTTATCTCCAGAACATTAACAATCGTCATTTCATTTCGAATTCAATTTAAAAAAAAATAGTTTCCTAATTTACACTATATTGAAAAAGTGCTCCCGTATAGTCACAGTCTAAACGCATTTGCAAATAATTCTGTGCGACATTTTCGCTTATACTGTGCTTAGCTTAGCGGCATTTTCACATTTTTCAATAGTTTTCTCACAAAATTGGAAAAGTGTTCCAATACATAAACAGTCTAAACGCACTTGAATGAACATTTGTACCACAGTGGCGCTTAGACTGTGCTTAGCCTGGGTAATTTTTTGAATTATTAATCAAAAATTACAAAAATATTTTATGGAGAATAAAAAAAGATGTAATAATTTTTTATCCTCAAATCGTCCAATTTAAAGTATAATTTTCGAAGTCGAATTTTGATCACAAATTTCGATCTAATTTCTTTAGAAAGAATTTGGAGTCTCTGAAAAAGTTGAAAGCTGCTTTAGATAAACAGAAATTGGAAAGAGAAAAAGCTTTGGCCGATCAGATGAAAAAGAACGAACAGGGAGGAACATGATGCAGATTTTAAGGAAAAACATTTTTGTTTTTATATAATTTGAAAAAAGAAACAAATATATTTTTTGTAAAAAAATCGATAGTTTATGCATTTCTATAGGAAACTATAGTGTGGTGGTTGGGGAAAAAATTGTATAACTCGTGAAATATTTGTCTGAAGTGAATTTGATGTATGACACGTGTATTTAGAATTAAATACTTTATAATTTTGTCTAATATTATAATGACCTACAGCAACTCGGTATACTTTGAAATTGGTTTTCAAAATAAGGTATGCACGTCCAACCTTAATAGAGCGCAGAATAGAGAGTATAATAGAACTACTGGTTGCATTCATTTACTATATCTTTTGTAACTTTTAAACCATTAGCTTAATATTAATATAATATTAGACAAATTTATAGAGAATTGAATAATCTACAATATTGTCTAACATTATAAGCCCATACAGCAACTCGGTATACTTTAAAATCGCCCTTGAAAGTACAAAATAGTTTTTAGGGTCGTTTTTCAAGGAAAATTTAAGGGACTTTTTGTACCCTGATAATTAAAATATATTTTTTTAAATTATTATTAAATAGTGAATATTTTCAGTCACCATGGACTGGTGGAATGAGCTCTGGCTAAATGAAGGTTTTGCCCGTTATATGCAGAACAAGGGCATAGATCAGATTTATGACGATTGGGGTTTGGTATGTAAAAAAAATACAAAAAAAATAGAAAAAATACAGAAAAAAAATTAAATAAATGCATACAAAACCCCCAATCTTTGTACAAAGCCTTATTCATCGAAATTTAGGAACTACTGTTATAATACTAAAATTATTTAATATTTTTTTATTAAATTTTATTTAATTATTTTATTATTTTCCAAAATTTAGTAAGAAACAAAGTTAGTCGGACAAAACAGTTTTAAATTATGCGAATTTTTTTTTTTTTTTGTTATATAATAATTTATTTATAATAGGACAGGTCAGAAAATACTCATTTATTTTATTTTAAAGTAACTTAATAAACTTTTTAGTACGAATATATATTTCTATTCTGAAAATCACTTGCTCGTGGTAACGTCAAACTAAAAAATTAATTTATATAATAAATTTATTTTATAATATATATTTTATTATTTAAATCTATAGTTAAAACCCTAAAATATTTTATCAAGACATAAAATACTCATTTATTCTTTTTAATGTAATTTAATAATTTTTTTTAATATGGATATATATTTCTATTTTGAAAATCACTTGCTCGTGGTAACGTCAAACTAAAAAACGAATTTATATAATAAATTCATTCTATAGCATATATATTTTAATAGTCAAATCTATAGTGAAAATCCTAAAATATTTTACCAAGACATAAAATACTCATTTATTCTATTTTAAAGTAATTTTATAAATTTTTTAATATGAATATATATTTCTACTTTGAAAATCACAACGTCAAACTAAAAATTAAGTTAAATAATCAATTTATTCTATACTATATATATTTTATTATTTAAATCTATAGTTAAATCCTTAAAATATTTTACTAAATCATAAAATACTCATTTATTTAATGTAAAATAATTTTAATAATTTTTTAAACTTTGACTTCGTAAATAGATTTCTCGTGGTAACATCAAACTAAAAAACGAATTTAGTTAATAAATTTATTCTATAGTATATATATTTTATTACTTAAATCTATAGTTAAAACTCTAAAATATTTTACCAAGACATAAAATACTCATTTATTCTATTTTAAAGTAACTTAATAAATTTTTTAATATGAATATATATTTATTATTATTATTAGAGCCAGAGAGCGTTTTGCCCAAATTCATGAGTGACTGAAAATATGCAAAAAAAATCGATAAAATCCAATTTTTATTAAAAAATTGGTATAAAAATCAAATTATTTTTGACAAATTTGATATTGCACGTTTGTACAATATAAAAATATTTACTGGAGTTATTTAAAATAATTTTTAATAAATATATACAAAAATAATTGGCGTCAAAATCTGCCCTTAAGCAAAAATAAATTTTCAACATTTGTCAGCATTTTGATGTAAATTTTGGTATTTATATACTTTTATATATATATGTATATATTTATCTGTCAATTTATTTATTTATTTAATTAACCCTTTGTTTATTTATTTATTTATTTTTTTAGTATTTTTTTTATTATTTTTTTATATAAAAAAGAGTACAAAATAAAGCATAGTATTTTCATTAAGTAGTATGATGATTTAATAAGAATTAAAAGCAAATAATAATAATAATAAATAAAATAAATAAAATTTCAGTCACTATGGATTGGTGGAACGAACTTTGGCTAAATGAAGGTTTTGCCAGTTATATGCAAAATAAAGGAATAGATCAAGTGTACAAAGATTGGGGATTGGTAATGTGAATTTTTACTTATTTTAATCATTTATTTATAAATTTGTCAAACAAAAATTGATAAAAATGGTGTAAATTAAGTCAGTTTTTTGCATGATTTTTTTTTTTAATTTTTTTTTTATTAAGTTGATGTTTTTTTTATCCAGTTGGAACAATTTTTACCAAGTACTGTCCATAGTGTGATGAAATTAGATGGAACTTTAGGATCTCATCCAATTGTTCAAACGGTGGAGACGCCTTCGCAAATTACAGAAATTTTTGACGCAATCACATACGACAAGGTAAAAAAAATCATATGTAAATATAATATTTTAGCTTTAGAATGATGCAAAAATTAAAGTTTTAGCTTGAACGGTTTGGTAGTTATGAATATTCAAAAATGAGTTTACACCAAAATGAGTCCACACTAAAAATTTGTTAGTGATAAGAGCGTTTGCAAAAGCCCGTTTTCAATAAGACTTTGTTAGTAATTTTTTGTTTCAACTATTTTTATATGTAAATATAATGTTTTAGCTTTAGAATGAAACAAAAATTAAAGTTTTAGCATAAACTGATCGGAAGTTATAAATTTTTAAACTTTTTACTACGTATTTATAAATTCGTATAAGTTCGATCGCTCGCGGTCACCTCAAACTAAAAAAATATTTAAATAATTAATTTATTCTATAGTATATATAATTTATTATTCAAATCTCTAGTTAAAACCTTAAAATATTTTACCAAAACATAAAATACTCATTTATTCTATTTGAAAGTAATTTAATAAATTTTTTAATATGAATATATTTTTCTACTTTGAAAATCACTTGCTCGTGGTAACGTCAAACTAAGAAATCAATTTAGATAATAAATTTATTCTATAGCATATATATTTTATTATTTAAATCTCTAGTTAAAACCTTAAAATGTTTTTCCAAGAGATAAAATACTCATTTATTCTATTTTGAATTAAATTTAATAATTTTTCAAACTTCGACTTTGAAAATATATTTCTCGTGGTAACTTCAAACTAAAAAAATATTTTAGGTAATAAATTTATTCTATAGCATATATCATTTATTATTCAAATATATAGTTAAAACAGTAAAATATTTTACTAAAATATAAAATACTCATTTATGCTATTTTAAAGTAATTTCATACATTTTTTAATATGAATATATTTTTCTACTTTGAAAATCACTTGCTCATGGTAACTTTAAACTAAAAAACGAATTTAGATAATAAATTTATTCTTTAACAAATATATTTTATTATTCGATTATCTGTCTATTAATGTTTATATTTTTATTACAGGGTGCAAGTATCATCAGGATGTTAGAAAATTTCGTCGGAATGGATCGTTTTGCCAAAGGAATCACAGCCTATCTAAAAGCTCATCAGTATGGAAATGCAAGAACAACTGATCTTTTACACCAATTGCAAATAATTGTTAAGGATGAAATGGATTTAACGTCAGTATAATAAATAATAATCATAAATTTTATATCTATTATCATTTTATTATTTTTTTAGTAAAATTATGGACACCTGGACGAGGCAAATGGGTTTACCAGTAGTCACTGTCACAAAAGGTGAAAAACCTGGAGAATTTGTCCTGACACAAAAAAGATTTTTGGCTGATCCTGATAAGGAAAGTCAGGCTGAACCTTCACCATACAAGTAAATAAATAGATTTACATATAAACAAATATATTGCTATTGTTTATATTTGTTTAAATTTTAGTTACCGATGGGAAATTCCAATAACGTACATCACGAATGTTAAAGACGATTATAAACTTGAATGGTTCCCGAGGGAAGATGCTCAAAGTATGTATAAATTGTAGATTTAGATTATTTTTGTGTGAAATTTTGGGGTTTTGGCTTTAGAAGGAAATGAAAATGAAGTTTTTAACGTGAATGGATTGGTGGTTATGAATTTTCGAAAATGAGCTTACGCCTAAGTGAGTCGACACTGAAAGTTTGTAAAAAAGCACGTTTTTTATAAAACTTTGCTAGTAACTTTTTGTTTAAACTATTTTTATATGTAAATATAATGTTTTAGCTTTGGATTGTAACCAAAATTAAAGTTTTAGCTCATACTGATTGGTAGTTACGAATTTTTAAAAATGAGCTTACATCAAAATGAGTCTACACTAAAAATTTGTTAGTGACAAGAGCGTTTGCATAAGCACGTTTTCCATAAAGCTTTGTTAGCAACTTTTTGTTTAAATTATTTTTAAATGTAAATATAATATTTTAGCTTTGAATTGAAATAAAAATTAAAGTTTTAGCTCATACTGATTCGTAATTATAAATTTTCAAAATTGAGTCTACATCGAATTTCACTAAAATTTTGTGTGTGACATAAGAGTGATTACAAAAGCATGTTTTCCATAAAATTTTGTTAGCAACTTTTTGTTTAAACTATTTTTTTATAATAATATGATGTTTCAGCTTTGGATTAAAACAAAAATTAAAGTTTTAGCTTGAACAGATTGGTAGTTACGAATTTTCAAAAATGAGGTTACACCCAAATGAGTTCACACTAAAAATTTGTGAGTGACAAGAGCGATTTCCATTAAATTTTGTTAGCAACTTTTTGTCTAAACTATTTTTATATGTAAATATAATGTTTTAGCTTTAGATTGAAACCAAAATTAAAGTTTAAGCTTGAACGGTTTGGTAGTAACGAATTTTTAAAAATGAGCTTACACCCAAATGAGTCGACACTAAAAATTTGTTAGTGACAAGAGCGTTTGCAAAAGCACGTTTTCCTTAAAACTTTGTTAGTAATTTTTTGTTTAAACTATTTTTATATGAAAATATGATGATTTAGCTTCAGAATGAAGCCAAAATGAAAATTTTAACTGTAATGGATTAGTAGTTACGAATTTTCAAAAATAAGCTCACGCCGAAATGAGTCTACACTAAAAATTTGTTAAAGACAGGAGCGTTTGCAAAAGCACGTTTTTCATAAGACTTTGTTAATAATTTTTTGTTTCAACTATTTTTATATAATAATATGATGTTTTAGCTTTGGATTGAAACAAAAATTAAAGTTTTAGTTTGAACAGATTGGAAGTTATAAATTTTTAAACTTTTTACTACATATTTATAAATTCGTATTTCTCGTGGTTACCTCAAACTAAAAAATAAATTTAGATAATAAAATTTGTTCTATAGTATATATCATTTATTATTCAAATATATAGTTAAAACCCTAACATATTTTACCAGGACCTAAAATACTTATTTATTCTATTTCAAAGTAATTTAATAAATTTTTTAATATGAATTTATATTTCTACTTCAAAAATCACTTGCTCGTGGTAACCTTAAGCTAAAAAATGATTTTAGATGATAAATTTATTCTATAGCATATATATTTTAATAGTCAAATCTATAGTTAAAACCCTAGAATATTTTATTATAACATAAATTACTCATTTATTCCAATTTAAAGTAATTTATTAAATTTTTTAATATGAATATATATTTCTATTTTGAAAATCACTTGCTCGCGGTAACGTCAAACTACGAAATAAATTTAGGTAATAAATTTATTCTATAGTATATATAATTTATTATTTAAATCCATAGTCAAAACCCTAAAATATTTTACTAAAACATAAAATACTCATTTATTCTATTTTAAAGTAATTTAATAATTTTTTTTATACGAATATAGATTTCTTCTTTGAAAATAAATAAATAAATAAAAATCACAACGTCGGACTAAAAATTAATTTACCTGATAATTTTATTCTATACTATATATACTTTATCATTTAAATCCTTAGTTAAACCTCAGAATATTTCATTTTAACATAAAATACTAATTTTTTCCATTTATTTTTGTAGAAACTATTCAAGTAGCCGAAGATGTCGAATGGATAAAACTCAACAATGATCAAATCGGATACTACAGAGTCAATTATTCTGAGGAAATGTGGCAAAAATTGAGCAATGCTATGAAGAAAAGGATAATTGTAAGTTTTTGAACTACAAAACATTAGTTTTGTGTAGATAAAAAAATATTTGTGGGCCAAGGATCGAACCTTGAGGAACACCGAATGTCATATTCTGTTTGTCTTGATAATTTTTGATCCACGGTGGTTTAGATAGATTTAGAGCTTTTGAATGAAGAGAAGAATAATTGTAAGTTTTTGAAATAGAAAAAACTATATAAAAGATACTTGTGGGCCAAAGATCGAACCTTGAGGAACACCGAATGTTCTACTTCATTTGTCTTGATAATTTTTGAACTACGTTTGTCTGGATAGATTTAGAGCTTTTGAATGAAGAAAAGAATAATTGTAAGTGTTTGAACTAGATAAAAAATACTTTCGGGCCAAGGATCGAACCTTGAGGAACACCGAATGTCATATTCTGTTTGTTTTGATAATTTTTGAACCACGTTTGTCTGGATAGATTTAGAGCTTTTATATGATGGCAAGCAAGTTTAAATTTAGGATTCTATTTTTTTTTAATTTTTCAGAGTTTTTCAGCCTCAGACAGAGCCCATTTATTAAATGATGCCTTTTCCTTGGCCGAAGCAACTTTGTTGCCCTATTCAACTGCTTTGGAGATGACAACTTATTTGGCAAATGAAATGCATTATGTTCCATGGGCAGTTGCCTCTACTGAATTTTATTCTTTGAAAAAATTGCTATTTGGAAGTGAAGTTTATGAGAAATTTACGGTAAGATAGGGGAATACCCTAGTAATAAGAAAAAAATCATGTAGATTATTTTTTTATTCTCTTCAGAAATATGCACTAGAAATTCTTCAGCCTGCTTATGATAGAATAAAATGGGATGTCGATGATGATGAAAAACATTTGGATAAGTAAGTCTTACATTTTATATTTAAATACTAAAAAAAACATGATATTAACTATCTATTATTTTTTTCTAGACATCTCAGAGTAAAATTATTAAATTTGGCTTGTGCAATGGGACACCAAAAATGTTTGGAAGAAGCTGGGAAATTATTTTTGGACTGGATAGCTGATGCTGAAAATATTCCTCATCCTGACTTGCGCACTTTAGTATACAATTATGGTAATAATAATCAAAAATTGATAATTTTTGCCTGAATGCTCAAAAAGGGGGCTGAGAGTTCATGAATTTGCTTTAATGGGTTGTGGTACAATTATGGTGGCATATAGACTAATAGTATATTTACCAAAAATGTTGTGAATTTTATTAACTACAATTTTTGTTAAGAAACTTTTTTCTCTAAATTAAGTATTTTTTAAAATATTTTTGAAAAAAGTGAGAATTTGTACTGCATGTTACGCCGTAGCACTACTAATGTTGACAAAAATGTAGCTCACTTTTGAAAAGCTGTAGCACCACTATAGTGACTTATAGGTTTACAGTATATTTACAAAAATGTTGTAAATTTTACTAGCTACAATTTTTGTTAAGAAAACTTTTTTCTAAATGAAGTATTTTTTGAGATATTTGCTAAAACGTAAAAATCTGTGTACCAAGGACTTTTATAAGGAGAGTGCTACATGTCTCTAATGCTTTACAATGTGTCTCAGTTAAATTTTATTATATTTGTAATATTATTTATTTTTTTAATATTTAATGTTTTTTCAAGGAATGAAACAAGCTGGAACAAAACAAATTTGGGATATTGTTTGGGACAGATTCAAAAATGAAGGGGATGCTTCTGAAAAGGAAAAATTAATGGATGGATTGTCCTTTATACAAGATGCTGATGTTCTCAAAAAGTTAGTATTTGTTTAAATTTATTTCAGTACAAACATAATAAATTTTTAAATAAATTGAATGGGTACATTTTATTAAATGCTAAAAAAATAATTTTTACCTGAAAAGTACTTTTTTTCCACAATATGAATTTATAAATGATATATATATATATATATATATATATATATATGTATATGTATATTATTTATGCACTTTTTAAAATTATAAAGCGTTTTGTTAAATTATAAAGCACTTTATAAAATTATTACTGAGTCACAAAAACTGTGTCAATTATTGATCAAACAATTTTGTATATTTACTCGTGACATTCTAACTAAGAAACGTTTTTAAATCATAAATTTGTACTAAAGTATATATATTTTAATATTTATATATTTAGTTAAAACCTTAAAAATATCCCTCACACTATTAGTTATGCCTTTAGTTAAATTTAAATAATTTTTAACGATTTTTAAACTTTTCGTAATATTTATCTGCTTCTTAAAAGGTACCTTACTCATGACATTTTGACTATAAAACGATTTTAAATTATAAATTTGTCCTAAAGTATATATATTTTAATATTTATATATTTAGTTAAAATGTTAAAAATATCTTTTACACTATTATATACGCTTTTAGTTAAATTTAAATAATTTTTAACGATTTTTTAACTTTTTATTAGATTTATCTGCATCTTAAACTTACTCTTGACATTTTAAATAAAAAACGATTTTAAATTATAAATTTGTACTAAAGTGTATATATTTTAATATTTATTCACACTATTAGTTATGCCTTTAGTTAAATTTAAATAATTTTTAACGATTTTTAAACTTTTTATTAAATTTATCTGCTTCTTAAATTTACTCGCGACCTCAAATTAAAAAAAACGTTTTTAAATTATAAATTTGTACTAAAGTATATATATTTTAATATTTATATATTTAGTTAAATCCTTAAAAATAACCCTCACACTATTAATTATGTATTTCGTTAAATTTAAATAATTTTTAACGATTTTTAAACTTTTTATTAGATTTATTTGCTTCTTAAACTTACTCGTGACATTCTAACTAAAAAATGTTTTTAAATCATAAATTTGTACTAAAGTATATATATTTTAATATTTATATACTTAGTTAAAACCTTAAAAATATCTTTTATACCATCAATTATGCTTTTAGTTAAATTTAAATAATTTTTAACGATTTTTTTAACTTTTCATTAGATTTACCTGCTTCTTAAATTTACTGGTGACATTTTAACTAAAAAACGGTTTTAAATTATAAATTTGTACTAAAGTATATATATATTTTAATATTTATATACTTAGTTAGAACCTTAAAAATTACCCTTCACAGTATTAATTATGCTTTTCGTTTAATTTAAATAATTTTTAACGATTTTTAAACTATTTATTAGATTTATCTGCTTCTTAATTTTACTCGTGACATTTTAACTAAAAAACGATTTTAAATCATAATTTTGTACTAAAGTATATATATTTTATAGTCTAAATATTTAGTTAAAACCTTAAAAAATATATATAGTTCCAAAAACATCGCCTTTACCGAGTTGCAAATATTTTTTATGAATTTTTCAAACCTTACTATAAATCAACTTTAGAAATATCACGTGTCTGTTTTAAAAGCGATTTTAACTAATAAATATATACTAAATTAAACATTTATAACTTAAATAAATAGCTTAAACCTAAAAAAAAATTATTAGTATTAAAATTACCATTTCATTCAATTTAAATTATTTTTAACGAATTTTGAAATCTTTGTTGTATATATTAGCTCAGTATCTATATTAGCTCTTAGCAAGATCCTTCTTGACTAAAAAGAGATTTTAAATAATAATTTTGTACTAGAGTATATACATTTATATATTTAAATATTTAGTTCAAACTTCAAAAAAGTTTTTGCACAAAAATCACCTTTCTATACCATTTTTATCTAATTTTTATCTAATTTTTATCAATTTTTATCAATTTTTTTCTCCCCAGGTATACAGATTTGGCCTGGTTAGAAGAAAACGTCCGAGGACAGGATTATTTCAAATGCATGTCCTCGATTTCTGCAAATCCTTTAAGTACTGATGCAACCTGGAAATACGTCCAGGACAATTGGCAAAAAATGATCGACAGGTTCGGATTGGGGGAAAGAAATTTGGGCAGACTTATTCCATCTGTTACCGACAGATTTACTACTGAGGAGAGGCTAAAAGAGGTAAAAAGACGATTTGAAAGATGATACAAAATTGTAATTAATTCAAAATTTTTGTATAGGAGTGTATAAAAGTGTTTTAGTGGAAATGTTGTAAATTGTATCTAGTTTTACCCTATCTAACTTAAACAGGGTGGTTTTGTATGAAGTTTTTGAGTTATTTGACAAAAACCAAAAAAAAATCCCGAATTTTCTATATTTATTGCTTAAGAATGAAATCTCGAATTCAAAGTCGTTTTATTCAAAACTTTTATATCGGAGTGTATATAACTGTTAGCATGAATATGTTGGAAATTTCATCTAGTTTTGCTCTAACTATTTTTATTAAAAAACATTGAATATTTAAAAAGTTATCAAACAAATATTAATAAAATGCATGCGAGTACCAATATTGCTAAAAATTACTTTGAGTGACTGACATTTTATTTTTTGATGGAATAATTTTGTTTATAGAAAATTTTATTACTAAGAAAAGTTATGAACAATTTAATATTGTCCAACTTTACCAAAGACTGTATTAAAAATATTGAATACTTTAAAAACTATTAAGCAAATATTTTACATAGTTTTATACTAAATTTTATTCTAACTCTACTTCCCAATTTTTTTAAAAAGAAATTATTTTTAGATAACTATAATAATTTGATATTATTTATTAATTAAAAAAATGTGTAATCCTTTTAATTTTCTACTTACGATAAGTTATAAAGTGTGTATGATTTTTTTTGAAATGTTCTAGGAATTTAAGATAAAATATTTTTCATGCAAACTTTAATAGGAAAAATTGGAAAGTTTTTGTTAGATGGCATGGAAAACAACCAAAGAATCTAATCTAAAGTCGTTTTATTCAAAAATTTTATATCGGGTGCTATATAACTGTTTTAATGAAAATGTTGTAAATTTTATCTAGTTTCACCCTGTCTAACTTAAAAAGGGTGCTTTTATATAAACTTTGTGAGTTATTTGACAAAAACCAAAAAAATGTCCCGAATTTTTTATATTTATTGCTTAAGAATGTAATATCGAATTCAAAGTTATTTTATTCAAATGGGCTTAAAATTTTATTTTTCAGATGAATGACTTCTTTGCCAAATTTCCGGAGGCCGGAGCAGGAGCTGCTGCCCGGAAACAAGCCCTGGAAACTGTTTCCAATAATATAAAATGGTTAAAAGTTAACAAAGACAGTGTTGCAAAATGGTTGAACGAGAGGAAATAATTTAAATAAATGAATATATATATATATATATATATATATATATATATATATAAGTGCTCTTAGGTGTTAAAAGTCGAATGAAATTATAAAACTATACAGAAGGTTATTATTTTTTTATTAAATAAATAAAGTATGTGCATATTTATGTCATTAATTTAATTTCAAGGTATTCCTCTGTCTGTTTTTATTTTAAAGAATGGAGCAATAATGTGTGTAAAATTTTGTAATTTGTATAAATAAAAATTGATATATTTTGTATATCTTTTATATTATAATTTAGAGTATTTATATTATATGGTTCAATTTAACACTGATTTGATTTTAAATAAGAGCAAATTAATAATTAAATGAAGATATAAACAAGATTTAAAAAAACAACAAGTCAAAATGGAAAATATTTTTGAGGCAAGACAGATATTACAGCTGTTCAAAGAATGAGATTATATTGCCAGCGAAAAAGTAAAAAAAATACAAGCAGTCAATGAATGTATGTTAATTTTCATTACATGAAGTTCTTCAAACACAATTATTACATGATGAGTGAAGTTGCAAAAACAATATTTGTTTAGGCGTTGTTTAACATAATAATTATCTGCATTTTTATAGATAATAAAAAATATTGAAGCAGTACACCTTTATTCTATCATGCCAAAGATATATAGATTCAGAATTATATCTCAGATATTTTTGGAAGTTTAGATGAAGTCTACATGTTTTTTGATCATGATAATTATCATAATAATAATAATACTTGAGTATTACAAAGTTGCATATTTTTATAAATAATGGAAAATAAATTGATATTCAGATTTATTACTCTAAACAAGAAATCAAGCACAACAATAGTTTGTGTAGGTGTGTATCATTTATATACAGATATACTTTATAATGGATATCTATGCTATAAATAAACTATTTATTTGTTACAAGTTTACTGTGTGAATCTATTAATCAGCAATCACTCAATTTCTCTAATAAAAGCTCGAATCCTAAATGCTAATTACAATGACAAACCGATCATGTCATATTTGAAATATGACTTTAATTACATTGATGTTTTTGAATATTATACATATTTTTAATGCTATTATAAATATATAATTTATAATTTATCATTATATAAATGTGTATAATGGTCGACACTAATAAATGTGTGCATCACAAGTGTTACCATATTACTGATGAACATTATTCAAAATTGTTGTATGATGTATTTATTTTTACTTAAATGCCATCTCGTACAACAACAAAAAAGTTTTACTTCAATACTTAATATATTTGCAATGCGTTACAAACGTGAATTTAAATTATAACAATTTGCATATATCATTTTGTCAAAATTCAAATTTGAAATTGGCGCTACTATTTACCGATCGACAACTCTGAAGTTGCACATCTTACGCATCAATGGCGTCCTGTCAAAACTTGTTGAAGGCGTCTTAGTTCTTTCAAAATGGTCAAATAAAAAAGAAGTGAGTAATATAGAAATAATGTAGTTAGTTGTGCAAGAAATATTTTGTGATGCAAGAAGAGTGGAGCCCCCTTAGGAGTCTCGAGCGGCGGATTGGATGGTAATTGAAAGGTATGGTAATAGACATTTAGTATATAGACATTTGAATATTTTGTTAAGAAGGTGTTTTATGGGTTCGTGCTGATTTTTGCTTGTGATTAAGTAGTCAGTTTTGATGCATCGATTTCAAATTCAGATTTTTTTATACTTAAAAGTTATATATACTCTTCTAAGTTATATTTTTACAACATAACCTATAAGTTACAAGTAAAGATGTTGAAAATCAAAATAAAACTAGTGGGGCGCACGGCATCGTGCCTTAAGGCAAATTGCTGAAACTTTCCGTACCAAAAATTATTTTTAAAAACATTAACATTTTTGACACACACACATACATCCATTTTTTGTAAAGTATGCCAAAATGTCCAGAAACCTCTCGATTACTATAACTTACCCTAAGGGAAGTTAAAAAATCTAGTAAAAGAAATAGAATTAAATCAATGAGTAAATAGTAATTATAAATAACTTGCAGAATTATGTTCTGGATCATAGATCACTCAGCCATTTTTTCTTTAGTTTTTTGACTAGTTAGGATTGACATATGCATCCAATTTGTCTTGATACATTAAGCTTCTGCTTTTAATGACTTCTATTGGAAATTTTTAGGTCCTCGTGGATTATATATAAACCATCAAGTGCTGCAAATCATTCTCAGTATTTTGTTTTGGGCTTTCTGAATTATACAAATATTGTTTCAATATTGGAATTATCATCGAGAAGCTTATTTTGTAATCAAAGTTTGGATGATCTTCCTATGAGGCAGTTCAGGTACTTTAATTTTAAATCTATTTATTCCTTTTTCATTATTATGTACATTTTCCAATTTGGTTTACTATCTATATGTATTATTAGATTTTTTTATCAGGTTTTGTGCGGCTTCTTAATGAAGCGATAAGACATTGGGATTTGGTAACATCTGGTTCGATGTTCCATTTTTTAGCTATAATTCTATTTCTCTTAATGAGCAAAAGATGTTCAAGGTAGCATTACCCCTTTATTTTTATTTATTATTATTAAAAACCTCGATATGTAATTCGAAGCAAACATTGCTTTGTCAATCTTACTGTTTTGTCGTATAGTAATTAGTTAATATTTGGATTTTTCAATTGATTTTAAAATGTTGAAATGCAGTTAAAATGGAGATTTTATTTTATTTTAGTTTGATTTTTATACCATTCACACTTTTATCCGTTTAAATTTTTTAGCAATTTACAATATTTTCTGACAAAATACTATATTTTCTGACAAAATACTATATTTCCTGACACTTTTAAACAGTTTATATTTTTTGTTAACAATTTCTGACTATTTTTTAAACAGGAAGAAGCACCTCTCATATTTAAAGCATGTCCTGACAATTTACAGTATTTTTTGATAATTTTTTTTAAACAATTTCTGTTTTTTTAAACAATTTCATGTTTTTTTAAACAATTTCTATGTTTTTTTAAACAATTTCTGTTTTTTTTTTAAAATTTCTATGTTTTTTAAAACAATTTCTATGTTTTTTTAAACAATTTCTATGTTTTCTTAAGCAATTCAAATTTGAAATTTAAATGGATAATTAAAAAATTCTGAATTTTTTGTTAAAAAATGTTGTAAATTGTTTGAAAGTGTTGTAAATTGTCTGAAAGTGTTGTAAATTGTCTGAAAGTGTTGTAAATTGTCTGAAAGTGTTGCAAATTGTCTGAAAGTGTTGCAAATTGTCTGAAAATGTTGTAAAATATTTAAAAATGTAGTAAATTGTCTAAAATCTTGCACGTCCTCTAAAAATGGTAATCGTATTGTTATACTAGATTTTGGTATACTAATGAATAAAAAAAATGTACAGACTTCTATTCATTAAAAAAAAACTAGTGGTGTATGGCATCGTGCCTTAAGGCAAATTGCTGGAACTTCCCGTACCGCAATGAAATATTCGAGAAATTTTAAACATTTTCAAAAATATTATTACAAATACTGTAACTTTCATTATTTTTGATATCTTGTTATATCTGAGCAAATCAAATGTTAAAATCATAAATCAATTTATCTCCAGAACATTAACAATCGTCATTGCATTTCGAATTCAATTTCAAAAAAAAAAAAATATTTGTCTACTTTACACAAAATTGAAAAAGTGCTACCGTATAGTCACAGTCTAAACGCATTTGCAAATAATTCTGTGCGACATTTTCACTTATACTGTGCTTGGCTTGGCGGCATTTTCACATTTTTTAATAGTTTTGACAAAATTGGAAATGTGCTCCAATACATATACAGTCTAAACGCACTTGGGTAAACATTTGTACCAGAGTGGCGCTTAGACTGTGCTTAGCCTGGGTAATTTTTTGAATTTTTAATCCAAAATCACAAAAATATTTTATGAAAAATAAAAAAAGATGTAATAATTTTTTAAATTATTTGCTTTTCATAAAAATATAAAAAATATATTTAGCAAATCTATCAGGTTTATTCATAAAATACAAATTAATAACACGACAAATGTTTTTTATATATATAAGTACAGTCAATAATTGTTTTTAATAGAATAATAGTTATTGATATATATATATATATATATATATATATATATATATATATATATATATTTACAATAATGCTAAATGTAAATATGAAATGTATATATAAAAAATATAGTTCCAATAAAACCAAAAATTTAATAGTTTTATTATAATAACTATTTAATATAATTTTGTTTTTCAGCAAAATTTTATTGGTTTTGGTTATCCAGGAATATCTATAAATATAATTTATAATATATAATAAAAATTTTTATAAATAATTACAATTACGACTAGTTTTCACATTTTAATTTTAAAGATCTTGTATGCATTCTCCTTGATGGAATGTTCATTCTAAATGAAACCTTGATGAAACCTTTAGAAATTAAATTATAAAAAAACACATTTGGTTTAAAATAATCACTAGTTAAAGACATCCCTGTTGTTTATATATTTTTATATATATATATATATATACATATATATATATTCTTTACTACTTTGCTGCCGCCGTTTTTATAGTACAAGTTCTTAGCAATAAAGGGCGGAAGCAAAGTTGTGCGCCGAACCAAAATAAGTCAGTCTTTTCTGAAACAATTGGAATTGGATATATCGCCTTTTTTTGGGTTATCTTCAAATGTGTTGATTGAAGTTTTTGCACTAATAGTTTAGACACTTGGTTTAACACTTTACACCTTAAAATGTTTCACTAGATTTACCAATCTGCCTTCCAAATTCCAAAAAGGTTTTCGATACCATAAAGTATATATTATCTTTGTAACCAAAAAATTGATGAATTTAAGTGATGGAAACAGTAGTAGTCTAGTTGCTGCTTACACGTACAAAATCTTTGGTCCATTTTATCAGGTTTTAACTTGCCCAGTACATTATTCTTGTGCCCATCCATTTATTTTTGGTATACGTACAAAGTTCTTAAAAAAAACCGGTGAATATAAATGATGGAAACAGCAGTAATTAATATCCAGTTACTTCTGGACAATGCACAAGGACATCGTATTATTTT